TATATATATATATATATATATATATATATATATGTTCATGTTCATATTCATATTCATATATGGGTCTTCTAGAATAAATTTTGCTGTGTTACATTTGGGCTATCTCAGCCAGTGTGAGATAATTCACGTTCCTATGGTTTCCTTTGAAAACTGTTGCTGGTACATCTGTATTTTGGGTTTCTTTTTATTAGTTTCAGAGTTGTTATTAAGTGGTTGGATATGTTTATTTTGTGGATAAAACCAATGAAAATAACAATAGCCCTGTCTTTGCAGTCGGTGTGAGCTTATATGGACTCCAGAGGATGGTAGAGGACAGGAAGGCCTGGAGGAACGTTGTCCATGGGGGTTGCGATGGGTCAGACACGACTTCGCAATTAATGACAAGAAGCTTAGCAAAAACTCATCTTACCCACACTGACAAAATGCAATGATTTAATGTCAATTTGGCAAAGTAATTTTTTTAAAATAAAAACGTCATATATATATTTTCATATATGGGTCTACTAAAATAAATTTTGCTGTGTTACACTTGGGCTATCTCAGCCAGTGTAAGATAATTTACGTTCCTATGGTTTCTTTTGAAAACTGTTGCTGGTCATCTGTCTTTTGGGTTTCTTTTTATTAGTTTCAGAGTTGTTATTAAGTGGTTGGATATGTTTATTTTGTGGATAAAACCAATGAAAATAACAATAGCCCTGTCTTTGCAGTCGGTGTGAGCTTATATGGACTCCAGAGGATGGTAGAGGACAGGAAGGCCTGGAGGAACGTTGTCCATGGGGTCACAATGAGTGGGACACGACTTCGCCACTAACAACATCCCAAAATCATTAAGTCCACACACAAGGAATTTCACTGCTAAATAACAACTGGCACAGATTCCCGAGGGCCTTTATCATGTGGTAATCGCTTTATTTGCAATATTGTTCTGAGATGTATCTTGGTCTAAGAGATCCAAAATCCTCTCCAAAATCTGGATTTTTGAAGATAATTTATTTTATTTTTTTTTGCAGAAAGGGTCAGCGCAGGAAGAAAAATGGGAAGAGAAGGTGGTTCTTGCCGTTAAGCACAGCACAATATTGTCCTTAGTGTTACATATCCGTTTCTTTAAAGTGGGTCAATTCTTTTTCAAAGACCGAAGAGTCCTGACTTCCTTCGGAAGGTTTTGGCGTCCTGTCACGTGATTCTTGGACTGTATACTTCTCGCTGTTCCTCCAGGGCATCACTGTGTAAAATAAAGGCACAGGTCATTGGTACTTTGAGCTCATTTCTTTTCACTTCTGATACTAGCTCATATTTCAGCCCCCAAAGAGCTGGTAAAAAAAGATACAGTTTAACAGAGTTGGAAGGGACCTTGTTGGTCATCTAGTCCAACCCCCCAACCAAGCAGGACACCCTACACCACTTCTGCCAGATGGTAGTCCAGTCTGTTCTTGAAAGCTCCCATTGATGAAGCTCCCACAACTTCCGAAGGCAACTTCTGTTCCACGGGTTGATTGTTCTCACTGTCGGGAAATTTCTCCTTATTTCTAGGTTGAATCTCTCCTTGATCAGTTTCCAGCCATTATTCCTTGTCTGGCCTTCAGGGGCTTTGGAAAATAACTTGACCCCCTAACTCCTCTCTGTGGCAGCCCCTCAAATATTGGAAGCCTGCTATCCTGTCTCCCCTGGTCCTTC